TGGTCTTGTCAAGCCTATGAGACAGTAGTCGGCTCACTCAGCGCTTCTCGCTCAGATCAAAGTACAATACCACTGTACTACTGACAGTAAAAATGGATATTCTGATGAAATACTGAATGACAGGCTTATGTACTGCGCACTGTACTGTGATTCCTGTCATACAGTAAACCTACTTAATATTTCTTTTAAATACATAATCAGCTGAAAACATTTCTCAAACAAATCTTACATTCATTATTAATCCCCAAAAAAAGAGCAAAACACACTCACACAGATTCAGACATGAAATCCCAGAGCTTCACCCTCACCAACCACAACTGCAACACTGACTGACAGACTGGAGTGTAGCGTCCGAACAGGTGTGTGTATACTCAGTAGTTACACATTAATAAAGCAGAGCCTATTTGGGCTACTTCCTATTGTGAAAAGACGTGAAAAAAAAAAGAACCTCAAATAGCCTACAAGAAAAGAAAAGAAAGTTTGATCTCACCGTCGGCATGAGATGGTTGTAGTTTTGCTTGAGCGCGTTGACAGGAAAAGAGGCCAATCCACTATCATTTACACTGCTTTTCTAGGGCGGATCTACGGAGCTCCCCTCCTCGCGTTACAGCTCTTCGCCTTGTTTGCGCTCAGGCACGTAGCATTTTGGGATTGGAAGTTTTTAAAATGATACAGGAACCCCGGCGGAGGAGTGGCCTCTCGTGGATAATAACTACAGCGCCCACAATGCACCTCTCTGTGTAAACAAGGCGACCTGACTTACAACACCTGAAACTGAGCGATACCTGTAGTTTAGTTTCGACGGGGAGTTTAGTGATAAGCAGGCATGCATCACCTCGCAGGTCGAAGGTTACTAATTCCAAGAGGAGATACACAAGAATCAAGGTTAATGCACCCAGAGAGCATCAATATTAATTATTATTTAAATATATTTATACAGCCTCTGCAGGCCACACAGCTTTGAGGGAATTTAACAACAAAAGCAGGTGCTTATATGATAGTTGTAGTGTATTAATAAGCCATATATAACAAAAGTGTCACAATTGTGTTTCTTATTCTCTATTTCAGTGAGAGAGGTTGTTGGCTTTTATTGATTTTACTGTGTGTCATTATCAGGATTTGAGTGACTGTAGATCAAAGTCAAAATGAACCAAACAGAGCTTAATCTCATCAAGCCATGTTATCTCACTGAACACACGTTTACTGTGATGAGTGCCTGAATTAGATCACAGTTCATCATTATAGGAATAATCAACAGTTTACAGCTTCTCATAAGTGGAACAGTTGCCTGCTGAAGGTGTATAAAACTTCAAATAGCCCCTTTTGGTAGAAGCTTGTTGTTTGTGTTGCAGCTGATGAATATCCATGCCAAAGTTGAAGTGTTCTGTCAGAACTGTTCTTTGGATGCAGGCCCTGGCATCCCAAGGGAAGTTAGTTCTCAAGGAATGCAACTAAGTACTCTTGAGCAGGATTATGAATTTTCATGTAGCAAATATGGTCAGCGCCTGGACTTCAGCATAACTAATTAACATCCCTGAAAGTGTTGTAAAATATGTAAATGAGCATTGCATGTTCAAATGTGACATGTTCTTTTAGGTACATATCCCACTGTTTTGCAGAATTCTTTCTGATATTGGTATCAACTATTTCATTATGGAAGAAAAACAGACCCGATATGCATCTCCCACATTCCACTACAACACAGTAGCAAATATTTTACTATCAGCTCTGAGTCAGACTGTTTTGTATTAAGTATCTGAAACAGAAGATATACGTGTGAGCAAGTTCTGCTCCCCTGTGGCTGTGTTGAGAACATCGATCAGATAAGGCTGGTCACATGCTCTATCTTTTATTTATTTTCTTCAACAATTCCCATGAAAAGACCAAAACCAAGTATTGCCTGTGTATCCAAAGCCTGATATAGCTTATACCTCTGTGCGGCACTGCTATTAAAAACACAGCAATGTTGCTATTTACTCCTGTCTGAATAGTGCTTGCTCTAACCCACAGTGCCCAGCTGTTTTTAGGAAATTGCTGAGTAAAGTAGAGAAGTCAAGACAGGCTAACACATTCTTAGTGTTTTCATGGGAACAATAAAAATACAGAAATGACCCCAGACTCCATTTTTAAAATAGACATTTTTCATCAAAGACATTTTGACATGTCACAATAGAAAAAGCAAGTAAATAAATAAAAGTAAATAATAAAAATGAATGAATTCCATTTAGCTTGCTTTGGTTTCAGGGTTGTGCATGATAACTCACTGACACACAGTCATGGCTTCCCATCATGAGCCATTGTCCTTGTTATTAGTAACACCTGTGCTTCTCCTACTCTGACAGGTCAAAATGTCTGCAGTGAAAAGAGCCCTCACCAGAGGTAAGATGTGTATTATAAGGTGCAGTTGTCCATGATAATGTTCATATTTTTTTGATTCATTGGTAGGCCTATGCTTGAAAGTAAGATAAACTTTTAAACTTGAATTGTGTTGAGTTTTTTAAATACTTTAATCTCTTCACAACAACACTTTTCATGTTGATACTGTTAATGAATCAAACTGAAATTGTTTACAATTTGAGGAACAAATTATTGTATAATATGGATACAAGACCTTTAATGCCACTTCCATACTGCTAATATAGTATGTACACTGCAGGTAATGATTTTTAGCAGAAAGTACATTTATGTATGGGTTCAGGTCACATTTAACTTCACTGATGACATACAGTCGAGTGACAATTTAAAGGACAAACCAGCATAAGTGTCTTAGTAAGGTGCCAGAACAGTTTCAATGTGCCTGGGCATTGATTCTACAAGTCTCTGGAACTCTACTTGAGGGATAAACACTTTTCTTCCAAAAGATATTCCCTCATTTGGAGTTTTGATAATGGTGGTGGAGGGCGCTGTCTAACACTTTTAATTTGGTTGAGATTTTTTGCTTCCGAGGGCCATATCACGTGATTCACATCATTTTCATACTCATCAAACCATTCAGTGACGACTCATGACAGCAAAGTGTCCCCCCACAGCATAACAGAGGCACTGGATCCCCTCACTGTAGGGGTCAAGCATTCAGGCCTGTACCGTCCTCTTGGTGTGCGACACACACTCGCCCACTTGTCGAGAATATGGTTGGATAAGGATGACTCATCTGACCATATAATTTTTTTCCACATCCTGTAGACCAGACCCTATGGTTTCTGCACCACTTAACTCTCAAATGTGCATTCATCTTTGTAATGAGGGGTTTATGCACTGCCACCCGACTATAATATCCCTCTGAAAAAAATCTGAATTAACTGGGCCTGCTCAGCATTTTTATACATGCCACAGAGTATGGTTGGAAGTTAATTGCTTAATTGTACCATCCAGCGGACCTGTGTGGAATCATCTGCATTCATTATGTTTCCACTCATTTATGGAGGTTTCCCTTTAATTTGTCACCTGTCTTTTTCCTGCAGCAAATTAGATTTGAAGATCATTTTGTGTGTTTGCTCAGAAAAAGAATAACTCTTCTGTTCTATTTCAAAGTTGACGTACAGCTAAAATTATGTTCTGTGTAATTCACAACTGTGGATTACATAACTGTCATTTCAAATTCAGGAAAAGATTTCACCAATCTCAGTTTTTGCATAGAAACTGATTTATAGCTTTGAATGTCTCAGATTTGGGCAACTTTTACATTTAACTGGAGTTGAACTGAGAAAGAAATTCCAACCTGCTATGCAAACCCCTTTTTACCCCCTGGATAATGAAATGCATTGTCATCAAGTTAAGAAGACTCAAATCTAGAAACGGTATCTGAAACTTACGTGTGTGCCACTTGGTGGAGCCATTTCTCTACCGTTCATTTGGTCAGACTTCAGCGTTTTCTTTCAATGTATTCTAAAACCAGAGATCAGGTTTCTGTTTAGAGTTTCACCAATCCAGCAAGTAACGAATTGTCTAGTTACAACAAAGCAAAGCAGTGATTCAGACAATTTTAAGGCTTCTCTTATTATTCAGCTGTAACATTAGGCTACAGTGTAACCCTGACATAGTGATTAGGGCTGCAATTGAGGATTATTTTCATTCAATCAATAACTGGATCTAAAAAACATTATAAAATGTTGATCACATTTGAGTTTGATAATTAAAATATCTTTTGTTCAGTCTGACTAACCAAATATATTTCATTTACTGCAATGTAAGACAAGGGAATGCATCAAATCCTCACATTTGAAAAGCTGGAACCATCAAACGTTTGGCAAATCGGCTTCATGAATCGATTATTAAAATAGCTGCTCATGAATTTTCTGTCCATCGGCTGATTGACTGTGATATTTGATGTCACATATCTTCAATATATTGCAATGTAGGGGTCCCTATTATTGTCATTGTAATAGGGAAGCTTTGATAAACCTGTTTGTGGAGGGGAGCTCTTTTTTTTAATAGCGAAGAAAACAGAATAAATAGCCGATGTGTGTATCACCTTCACCAAGATACTGGCTCAGGCCTCACCTGCTGCCAGAACCTTCATCAGTCTTTGGAGCAGTCTGTCACTGGGATGGGTTTCATAGAGAACCATGGCTGTATTTAAGTATTATTCTTAAGTATTATTCTGGTTCATGTGAGTTTCAGCAGCCTCAAGGATTTTGAATGGAAAAAAGTACATTATATATATGTTTTTATCTCTCTTTCATTGAAGATGTTCCCTCAGGAAGTTTGTTTTCAGGTAGAAAAGTTTGATCCTATTGTGAACTCACACTTATTTATTTTATAGACACTGTTGATGAGAATGTTGGGGTCTGAAAAAACCAGCAGAGCTTCTCTCAGTGAGGTTCAGTCCACTCACTAGGTATTCCACTCAGTGATCTGACAGGTGAAACACCACCTGGGACATGACTGAATCTAAATTGCTGAAAGGATTGTATAAGGGTCAGTGTTGCAGCAATTACTGTTAATTATTTTGACTAACCTTGTAACCTCGTCAAATTGCCTTTCCCAGGAGATTGGTTGGTTTGATGACAATGACAGTACAGTTGGTGGTTTTAACCACAAAATTGGCCACGGTTGCATCATCGGTGAGAGGTGTTACCACAACACTATGATTTGCTGGTAGAGCTAGAAAATCCAATATATCTCATCAAATCAATTGCAGCTGGCATTGCCATGAAGCCTCAGTCAAGACTGTGATTCAGTTTGAGTTTTATTAAGGAGAATACAACTTCAAAATCACTGATACATACAAATTCCTATTATATATCTATTATATTATTTCTCTTTCGTGTTCATGACTGGATCAAAGCTGGGTTTTGCTGCCAGTAAACTGTGCTCTGACTGTTACTGTGGCCTTCATCCACAGTTGGCAGCTCACCTTCCTCATCCTGGCATGTGTGCCCTTCCTCTCTGAGGCCAACTTGTTTCAAATGAGGGCAGTGGCAGGACATTCCTTTGAGGACCAGGTGATGCTGCAACAGTCTGGGAGGTTGTTAATGACATTACAACGCTGAGACATGCACTCTAAGACATTAGGCCAAAAATGACTCTGTTCATATTTAATTTTAGTCATCTGCTGAGGTAGTTGAAAACATCAAGACTGCTGGGTTTCTTTTGACAGAAATGTATCTTTGATCATTTTCTCAAATGTTCAAGGCCAGTTTAGGTGTAAAACATCAGCTAAATATATATCACTTCACACATTTTAATAGCAGTTTATGGCAATATTGTTTAGTCCTAAGTCCAGGTTAATGTCTGTTTTTGCTGATATGCATTTTCCATTTTTTAAAAACTGCCTACTACTTTACCAATAATAGCTACAGTCTTCTTTTATGCATTACGCATGGAATTTGAAAATGTTTTCCCTGGAGACTAAATCTTAAATAAACCAGTATGAAATAAACAAACAACGTAATATGTCAAACCTCATGCAAAAGACAAAACTTGATTATAACCAAGTATTCATGTTTAGTCCACAGTCCTTGTTTTGTGGGAGTATATTTGCTCCCTTGAGTGGTGAAATTGACAAAGACAAAATAGTACAGTACACATGGAGCCTAACAGCTAGCCTTTTGCTTAAACTCTGGCTGTAATTACCTTCTTTTTAGTGAATTTTAAAACATAAGTAATTCAAGGGATTTTTTTAAGTGTAACTGTGCTGCATGCCTTAAAAGCCTCTGCAACCCAGTCCCAAGTTTTTAGTTTTTTCTTGAACTTGGCTTGGTTTCACTTTTAACATTGACTATTGTCCCTGTTATTTCTGCTTCACTGAACCATTGCAGGAAAACAGGAGAGCAGGCAGGAAGTGCACTAGCTGCGCTTGTACATATTAGTTTGTGTAAAAAGATAAAAGTGAAAAAGGAAGAGAGAAAAGAAAGAAAACAGGCAACTAAATGTTCACTAAGTCCTTATGGACCTTTTTCAGGAATTTCGGAGAGTGTGTTGGTTTTGAACAGAAAGAATATCCGTCACTCTGATAAGATGTCCTAATGTACTGCAACAAAAAAAGTGACACATCTGTAAGTAATTTAACTTTGATTTCTGATTTGCTTAATATTTCAAACATTTTGAGAGTGTTATCAGTGAGTACATTTAGTTCTAATGTGCTTTCATCTCCAGATTGTGTGTCAACAATGAAAGACAAATATCTGAGCCAGACTCGCATCACCATTGTGATTCAAGGAAGGTGAGAAGGGTAAACCTAGGTACTGTGATCATCTTATGTTGTCCTCATCAAAGCATGTCTCATAGTGTGCAAAAATATGTCATAGATGGTCCCAAGTTTTCATCTCTGCAGGTGGATTTGTTGAAGGTTTAGCCTGAGAGTAATTTAACTTTGATTAACAAACAGTTAAAAGTGTAAAATTTGTTTAAAGCAGCAAGATTCAAAGTGAGCTTGCTTAAAACAAAACTCTGAATAAGCTTTCTCAGTTTCCTGAAACAACACCAGAATCCCAAGCCACAAATTTCTCTGGAGAAGTAGATCAAAGTTGGACTTTAAATTGCTGTTGGTTGGTTGAAGCGCTAGATGGCGCAACAAAGCTGTGCATAAAAAGCAGTCTTAAGTCTGAAGTTTGAAAGGTGCTGGCTTTAGTTTACCTCTCACGGGAAACCCAAAAGACAGTAAAAGCAACAATACTTAATAAAAATAATATAATGTAATAATAACAAGGGCTGACATTTTATTTTATTTGTAATTTTGGTTTAGTTTAGAGGATGATCTGAACGTCAGTGCGCACACTATCGAGGGATTTTATGTGCGTAAATTGAATGCGTAAAAAACACAGAAACAAGAAAAAAAGATTAAATAGGAAAAACTGGATTATCTCTGTTATCAGCTGTGACTGACAGAAAATACAAAACACAAGTTGCCTGCGCAAATGGAAAAATTACCCAATTGTGTGACCTCAGACAGGTATTTAAGTCCAAACATACATTATTACAGAAGATAAAATAAATAGCAAATGAAGATAAATAAATTGTGAATAAATAAATGAAATCACTGATCATTTTGAATTTGAGTGAATATGCAGAGGATTCAGTCTAACTTGGGATCAAGTCAAATTAAACCTGAAGGGGAACAAGACACAGGATGACCTTTTCTTAAATTGTTTTACACTATTTAAATATTTAGAGACCCTTGGAAATAATGTAAGCATTTACGTGTAAACAAACATACTGCGCATTTATTAACAACACAATTTGGAATCAATAAATGGTTTGCTTGTTTTGTAAGAAAGTCCGCTGATCAAGAAAGAAAAACCTCCTGAATTAACATTTTCGGAATTTGGGAAAAATATAAATAAAAACCCAAAGGAGAAATGACAGCATGTGTCTTTGTAAATACAGTAAATAACGTGATATTTATCAGACACTAATAAAGACGTGGGTTAACGTGATGAGGTGTGTGTTGACTCCGAGAAGTTTTCAGGTTTAGGTTTTTTTTTTCGCTCAACAGAAAAACCGACACAAACCGGGAATAATAGCATTTAGCCTGAATTTAAATTCCTACACAGTTTTTTTAACTTCATTTTTCAGCAGATGCTCCATTTAATTGTTTAATTTTATTATTGAAATTTAAATTAATTTCTGGGTGAGGCCTTGCTCTTGCTGCAGGCCATTTTCCCACCCTGCTTTGAAAAAACGTTCAGCGGCACGAAGATCATGAAACGCGTCCATACCTGTATTATTTCACATTCACGATTTAAAAATAAACACCTACAATATTGTAATATAAAATAATAAATTAGAGGCCCATCTCATAATTTCAGACTTTCTGTTCTGCCGTTCAAAAACAGATTTTATCGACTCAACAATCAAACAAACTGAGTCGATCAACTGCTTCTGAATTCATACTGACTTTATTGAGTGGCTTACATAAAAAGCCATTCTCGGAGGGAGAAAGAAAAATATCATTGTAAAATTAAAATCACTTTACAACATGCTTACTTAAATTAAATGAGTGGGTAAACAGTAAATGATTTCCAAACCTTACAAATAAATTCAAAGTGCGCCTAATGATAGACCCCTAAATACAAGAAAACTCGTGGTTAAATATAACTCCCCACAATACATTTCATATCATGTCAAAGAAAAATCAAAGTACATTTCCGTATATTTTCAAATATTTACTAGAGTCCATATACAACTAGAAATACCTATACAAAATCGTCTCCTGGACAAATACATTACTCACCTTTACATTGGGCTGTAATTATTCTAACCTACATTTCTCATTATATACAACACATTTTGCAGCGAAGTGAAAGTGTAAGTAACCTCATCTGGCCTACTTACAAACTTGGCGCACATACTGTAGGCTGTGGAGCGAATAGCAACATGAGATATAAACCTACAACTGCTCCTCCATTATCAAACGGTTGATGGGATAAAACAGATATAATGAAACCATCCCATCCCACGTCTTCGTATACTCTACAGGTTCCTACCGAGCAGTCCATCCACAGGGACAAAAAAAAGGAACAATATCTCCATAATAAAGTGCCACAGTTTGGTTTTAAACAATATGTATGACAACAGTGGCGCAACTTTTCAGGCCTACATTTTTTCACAGCAGTGTTTTCATCTCAGACCCTGCGTGGGGGAAATAAAACATCAAGGGGAAAATTCAGGACGAGGCTGCAGAGAAAAGTTTCAGTTGTGCCCTGCTCCCAGTGTGCCCACAATAACTTGATTACACTGTCACACCGCGGATGTATTAATGAGAAGTTTCTGATGGTACAGCTATGAAATGATGCAATTAGTAGTCTTAAACACTTGGGAAAAGTCAAAGAAACGTATAGGCCTATTTTCTCATCAAATGACGACATTCATGATGAAGCATTTCGCATACACCAAAGTATGTCCACTTTCATGTCCAGCTCGGACAATTCCATCACAACACTTTGTTGTTATACAGTTTGTTTGTTTTTGTTTTTTACTTCACTGAGGGGGAGTTTTAGAGGCCGTTCATGCCTACTCCCTGGGTCGACTCAGGTTGGTGCAACAGGTCTGGGGAATGGCACGGAGGGCTTCCCGGCGCGCTGTGCTCGCTGTCGGTATCACTCCCCCTCTTCCCTCCGCTGCCCCCGGAGCCAGAGCCGGCGGATCCTCCGGCGCTGTGAGTTTTTACATGTTTACTCAGGTGATCGCTACGCATAAATCTCTTGTTGCACACCGGACAAGCGAATCTTTTCTCCCCGGTGTGTGTGCGTAAATGTCGCTGGAGCTCGTCGGAGCGCGTGAACCTCTTCCCGCAAAAGAGCCAATTGCACACAAACGGCCTCTCGCCGGTGTGCCACCTCAAATGCGCCTTTAGGTGCGACGTTTTCCCGTAAACCTTCCCACAGCCGGGGATGTGACAGCTGTGGAGACCTTTTCTCCGGAGGCTGGCGCCCGCCGGTCCCAGTCTCTCCGCCTCCTGACAGTTTGGACAGTCGCAGGTGGCTCTGCCCGAGTACCGCCGGGCAGATGACCTCGGAGACCCAGCTAAAGACGCAGGTGGACCCCCGGAGAGCATAGTCCCCCCTGCCCCGGCTAACGGAGAGGGGCTTGTGTCCGGATAAGAGGATAACACCGGCTTGAAACCGTCCATCAGGTGCTGGCCGGTTGTCAACAGGTGTGGAGAGGGACTTGTACTGAAAGCAGAGTGACTTAAACTCGAGTAATCAGAATTATATCCGCCCAGAGGAGAGTGCAAGGAGGTCTGGAGTCCACCGGAATGTAAGGACGTTTGTAGTGCTGCTCCATTAGGGTTTTGAACATCAATCCATCCCGCTCCCACATCCCACCACGCAGAGGCTCCGGTGGTTCCAACCTCTCCTGTGGGAATACCGGGATGAGACGATTTGAACCAGGACTCGTAGGGATGCGCAACGCTCATCCTCGGATAGATGCCCTGCAAACTGTCCACTGAGGTGTGCACCTTGGAGATGAAAACCGGCTGGTGGCTGGACTCTTGGGAGCTGCTCGAAACCGACGCTTGGAAAACAGAATAATCGTTTCCAAAGTGCGGACTAGATGAGGTACCAGACGTGAGGGAAAAAGCACTGGATCCGGAGGAGTTGTTGGTGCCGAAAGAGTCCGAGATGCCGGATCCATTACGGGACACCCCGAAGCCGGACAGGCCGGTTCCGAGGCTGCAGCTGCTCGCAGCGGCTCTTTTCCACGGGTGGAAGCCTTTCCCAAATGACGAGGAATTATCCGAAATTGCGGACGGTGAAGGGCTCGGGCTCCCTATTTTGTTACATGTTGCAGCTAACATGGCTAAAGGAGTCGATCCTAACCTCGGCTCCTCCTGGAAGGGACAAGAAAAGATGTAAGTTACTCAGTCTAACAAGTTTAACAGGTTCATTACAGACAGTCTGATGCAGGATTTCAACTCTTACGAGAAGGATAAGTTAGTCAATTTGTTGTAACAACTTTGAGCAGATGTAGGCCTATAACAAGCTATTAGTTAAGTTTGAAATAACATTATACAGTAGATTATTATCATCGCCTCCTACCTGGACGAACAGAAAGTAGACAACTGAAACGCGACACACTGCGCTTACAAATGCATGCCAGACAGGAGACCAAGGAAAACATGCGTGTTTTTTGAGCACCAGAAACAAACTTATATCCCGACTAGAGAGCCTCGAGCTTTCTCATACGACCCGCTTGCTGAAAATATAACCGACGCACTGCCTTTGCTGCTACTTTGCGGCTGCTGTAAGTTTAATCCCCCTCCGCCGGACAATGACAAGAACTAATTAAACCAGTAAGAAAGTCCTTTCGACTCACCCCTAGAAGTGAAGTTGCCATCACACAAAAACACTGCCCTCCTCAGAGGATCTTTTTATATTTATGAATCAGAGCACTGTTTTTTTAGAGGTGTGCAATACAATGATGTGTTCCGCCCATTCTTCCACAATTGTAGGCTCCTCTCCGGCTTTGAAGTGCCGCTGTGACACGGGCGACCAATCAGCGGCTCCGTCCCGCCGCACTGCCACACACTACCGTGAGGTCATCAATAGAGCGCCTCAGACAGCTCTCCACCCTCCTCCACCCCACCCACCCCACCGCCCCCTCCATAATAAAAGACAGCGGAAGGAAGGTAAAGTTAAATGAGAGTGAATTAGGAAGGAGGAATTAGGGGGCCACTTATTGAAATTTTTACAGAACACCACGTTCCATAAATTTGAAGAAAGCGGGATGATGGCCCTGTGCTCGGCGATGTGGCTGGTGGTGGATTTAAAAAGAAAAGAAAAAAGAGAAATAGAAAAGGAGAGGTTGATGAATTATGAGCACGGCACCAGTGGAAATAAATACAAAAAAACAAAAAACAGCCTGCGTAATAGCCCACTGTAGGCTACATAAAATTAAACTCACATTTTCAAGTAACTTTAATGCTACCAATTACTGAGCTTGAATAACTTCTTATTGAAAAGTTTGCTGTAAACTCTATTCTCCAAATATAAACGTGAGTGAAAGTTTAAGTGGGTCAACTCCACTTCATGTTGCATGTAGGCCTGCGTGTGTGTTTGCAGATTTCAGTGCAGGACTCAGGCGTTTTTTAGTCCATAAAGCCTCCTCGTGTTTTCTTGAATCTTCCTCATATTAAAAAAACTTATTCTGGCTGGCTCTGGCAGAAATTACCCCGCGGGATTTTTGCATGTTTTAACTTCTTAAGAGTTAATATACACAAACTATTACACAAGATACAAAGGCAGCTTTGTTCTGGTCGTGGACCTATATTACACCGTCTCAAACTTTCACATTACTGTAATTGTGTTCAATTATCTAAACTGGTTTTTGATTAAAACTGCTAGATGGTGCATTCCGGTGGAGGATTATTCATTTTATTATGCTCTTAAAAACAACAGATGATGAAGAATATGATGAGGGGTCGACGTAGTTGACTTTGGAACATTTTCAGCCTTTAAAATTACGAAATTCAAAAAAAAAAGAAGAAAAAAAAGTCAAATTACTGGCAATTTAGAGCATGTTGGTGCCGGAGGTTAAGTGAGATTATTTATTAAAGTAAGTAATTTCACTGTGTGTCAGGCTGAAAATATAATGATAAGATGGTTATACTGAATAGGTTCATCACTTTGCCCACTGACATTTTGTTAAATCTATAGAGGAAGCTCCTGTTACATAATAAGAACTTGTAGGCAAAAGCGGTGTGTTGAACCCTGGGACTCTCTGTGGGCGCTATTAGCATGCAGTGTGCACTAGAAGCATAAATTTCATTTGAATTTCAAATTTAATAACGCAGGAGGTTTTTAATCATCCGCAGTTTTATTTGTTTGATATTAACATGCTTATTGACCGGGTCTGTTGACCAGCTTGGTCATTACAGGACAGGGAAAAGTTAATTAAAACGACCAGGGATTATTCATCACATCATCTGCCTAACCCATGTCGCTTCCTTTATTACACAGCGTGATAGATGGACTATCTGATTAATTCTTGTGTTTCTAGGATTGGACAACAGCTTTTTGGATTAATTTACACTGCTTTACCTTCACGTGTAAAAAATGAAGGAGCGGAGGTCTAAAACAGCCAAAATTATTCATAATGTTGCACAGTTAAAAATAAAAACCCCACCGAAAACAGACACAACAACATTGTACATGCACTTATCTTAATTATCATTCTTACAGCACATGTTATATTTATTGCCAATATCCACCGATATTTATAATTAATTCAAAAAATGCAATGACATTTATTAAATGGGTAATTCAATCACTATTTTAAGTGATTCTTTAAATGTGTGTGCGCTTGTTCTCAAACTAACGCACGAAGTGTCGACATTTAATTATTTTAGGGGAAATGAGAAATCACGATAAACCACATATATTTATATGAAGGCAAGGACAGATTTTTAGATAAGCGGAAGAAAAAAAGACAACAACAACACAAACACACACATTCACTTTGGCTTATTGACGTTGGAGATAAGAAAGAACTTGTATCGATCTGTTTTCTGCTCATTCATTCACTTTATTTCCGTCAAACTAACCAATCATACAAACTGTCGAAAAAAACATAGCAAAGCTGTGGACATTATGCAGCCGCGTTTAAAAGGCGAATAAAAATGTGACAAAGTAATGAGGAGAATAAAACCTACATACCGTGTTTCTCCGCTCCGCACTGCATTGATTGACCCTCGACGTTTGCTCTCAGCAGAGTAAAAAACACAACATCTCCTGCTGCCGATGTGACTGTGGACCATGGCAGATAAATGTTACACTGGCAATTCAATTAGGAATAACTTGGAAAATTTCCGCTGACCCCCTGATTCCCTCTGTTTGCACTCAAACACCTTTATAAAGATACCCACAAATATGTGCACAGATAATTCAAGTTTATATTTCAGCATGAGACTATTAAACCTGTGTGATCAAACTGCTTTTCCCCCTTTTGCCTTCTTCCTAAAGAGGGGATGGTCATTCAAAATATTGTGCGCAATAGGGATTTTTACGCATATGGAGAGCAAGGTATGGTCTACATGAGGTATGAGCTACAGGGGGGCATGTTGGCCTCTGGTGACAAATTACCAAGTGATCATACCAGCAAGACTGATGTCAGAGGTCAGTGTGATAACTCCTCGACAGGAAACGTCTCGCTGCTGAAGCCACAGAGGTGCACGAGATATTTAATCTACTTCAAAATCTGATCGTGTAATTTATTCTACCTCTCAAAAAAAAAAAAAAAAAAAAAAAAGGGCTTTTGTTGCCTGTTGCGTTCAGCATCTAGAGGGTCGGTCCTAGTTCATATGGTGTGCACAGGTTGTTCTTAACGCACGGCTGTAACTGTAAGCCGCATTGAACAGATGTCCCCATTGAAGGCTTTCTTCTCCTACACACATGGGCTATATTACCATCATGAAATCAAACTCAAAACCTGTCCCTTTCGCCACCATAATGACCGAGTTATTCTGGGCCGCTGAGCACGAACAAAGTGTGTTCAATATTGCGTGCTCCAGAATCACTCCGCTTAGAGAGCTGGGGAGAAAGGAGTCAAGGCAGAAATGCAGAAATATACTTTAATGTGGAGATTTACAAAACGGCGTTATAATCTCGAAGAACTGTCCTATCAAAGATTTTTCTGGAGGAAAACCGAAGGTAATCGCTTGTGGTTTTAACCAGCAATTAGGAGACCGCTTATGCTCAGGGTGCTTTATATTCAGAATTACTCACTCATTTTTTCAGCAAATATTTTTTAAAATACAAATATATGGGGTACATTATTTAAACTCATGGTATCAACTTATAACAATTACGAAACAGACAGTCCTTTATTAAATGTATTACACTGAGATAGATAGATAGATAGATAGATAGATAGATAGATAGATAGATAGATAGATAGATGTGACTCTTCCTGTTGCTGCATCAAAATAATGTCACTGTCCTAACAGACACTGTGGAGCTGTATGCCGAGCAGAGAGTAAGAGAGCAGGGTCTGTTGGTTGTTGTTTTCTCTGTTCACCAGGAGGTTGGAAAGAGCAGATGTCCGTCTGCACTGTGAGCTGCCAAGTGGGTCCGGAGCGGGGCAGCCACAGACACAAGGGCCCAAATGGTGTGACAAAAGATGTGCAGGAAGCCCCTCTTCGCCTGGGTGAGCCACAGAGAGGGTCTCTCCCCTCTCTGCCAGCCTGCAGGGACACTCACAACACGAGCCAGAGTGGTGGCAGCAAAGCCATGTGTTACCGGCTGGGATGCATGGTACACTGACACTCACATCCACACAAACATAAATACACATGCATATGCAGGAATGTGCAAATGTGAGCCAATCCCATCCTCCACTGTCACCGGTGGATGCTCACACCTGCACATGGCCCCCTCAGTGTAAAACATACACACATTAATGCATTTTTTTCCCCCTAAAACCTTCATACAGATAGCCAGTCAGCTATTTTCAGGGTCACTTTTATCTTTCAAATGAGCTGCTGACAATGATGCAAAAGGTGGTGACATGAATATTGATGATGTAAATAGAGCAGAAAAAGCTGTTTATATACACAAACAACCATATTTATCTATCTATCTTGTATTTTATCTAACTTGGAGATGGTGTGCCATTTTTATTTCGCCCATGAGGTCATGAAAAGTGGGTGAAGGGGCCCTGAAAGTGTTCCAAGCACAGGTGTGCAGCATGGCCTCTACTGAAGGGGTGCACTGAACCATAAACAATGATATAAATGTCTGGCAAATAAAATGGCTAGTTAACAATCTTTTGACTGCTCTAACCTCTGAGCCTTTGTCGGGTATCGATCAGCCAGCTGTTCCTGGCTTTGTCTGGCAGGATGGGAGCCTCTGGTTCCTCCTGGGATGAATGGAGAGCGCCGCCAAAAAAACTCTCTCTATGCTTTTCAAGTTGTGTGTCTGTCCGTGGCAAAAATCAAAACAAGACGCTGTTCATCACCTCCCACAGGTCAACATTTATATATTTATTACATTCACATAAAATAAAATCATAAAATGAGCTTGTCAGGCTCCTCAGGCTGTTTAAAAGCTCTAATTTAAAGTTGCTTATTATATTTAACAAGACAAGCCCCGGCACTGGCTTCTTTGTTCACAGTTGCCATGTTGTTGGTTTACATGGAAACCATGTGAATGGTAATTTGGATGGGCATAATTTGTCTCCCTATATTAAGATAATTGTATGTTAAATAACGAACATCCTCAGAATTGCAGTAGGTGTCATGTGATGGGTCTTGTCACGCAAATATGTCAAGACAGGGTGCTAATGATCCGTCTCAGCACCTGTCAGTCAAAGAACAGCAGCGGTGACATTCACTGGTCAGGACTTTATAGTGCAGGTTATATAGGGGCCTGCAGTGCTGCTACCTTAGTCTATCTCGATTGTTTGCTCACCAAAAGTCTTATTGTCAGAATAAAATTAGTTGAATAATTAATTTAGGCATTTGTTGGGTAGCATTGTTGGATGTTACGATGTGTATTTCCCAGGCCACTTTGTTTGCCTGGCTGAGGTGATAGATTACAGCGTTTCAAATAGAGGCTGTTTATGATAAACAGAGCTAACAGTGTATTTTGCCGCCATTTGGCTTGACTGCTACATCTGTGGGCCATGAGGTCTTCTTATTGACTTTCACTGAGCCCAACATCGCACTTTGTCAGTGTGAGCGGCAGTCTAAGAGACAGGCGGGCGAGGCAGTCATACAAAGTGAAGTACTTAGGATTAGCCCTGGCTCTTCAAGTTTCAGTAATTATCCTCCTGGAGGCATTCTTGCTGTGTTGGATAATAATGGAAGTCCGGGTGTACGCCTGTCACCTCTCAAGTGTGGGTGGAGGAAGCCAACGAGAGGCACAGGACAGAGAAATGTTTGCTTTTCTGTTATGTCATCGGAGGAGCACAACAGTAAGGCAAACTTGTGTTGTTCCCCGAGCGGAGATGAGGCTGCGCAACAACACTGATTTTCTTCTGCTTAACATGTGACGCACAACTTGGAATCTTTTCAGCTGTGGATGTGATAATGAAACGTGTTCGCCAAAGGTGATAATGTGTTCTGAGATCAAGTAATTACCAAGTGTCAGGCATGTGTTTTTGATAAACAAATCTGTTAAAACACACAGTTGCATTATTTGTTGAGAGTGAATATTATCTGATTGGTGTTGATTACATTTGCAAGCTGCACAAATATGTGATCCTTTTTCTTTCTCTCTTCCCTCTCACATCAGATATTCACACAGGAAGAACTATGTTGTTTTTTTCCCCCATTTCTGATGTGTTGCTTCAGTGTATCTATCACATTATCTTTAACGTTTTATTCAAGTGCATGTTGGAATGACAGAAAGGCCCTTATATCCAGCAGAAAAAACACAATGCTTTAATTAAGAGTCAGTCCGATTTCCCAGAGGGGAGATTGTCTTCTTCCATTAACTTAGTTTATCATATAATAAAGAGGTTGCCTTGTCCTTCCCTACCCAGACAATTGGTTTTAATCAGCCAGCAGGTCTTTCATGGCTGATAATTTATGCTAAATTGACAAGGGTGGAGGATATCACAGAAAATCATTATGACAGGGCTCAGGTCACTGCCTGTCACCATCTTGTTTTATCCTGTCCACGGAGCTCACGGACAACAACAAAATTCGTAAATAAATCTGATGGAAATATTAGCTCTGGAGACTGCTTACTTCATGTCTTCTGAGTGATTATTTAGTGCATCCTGTGAAAGTTTTGGGCACATTCATAGCTGCAGAAGCCATTGAGGTTATAGGAAATTTTAAAGTGAAGGGCTATGTTCATTATCTACAGACTAAACAACACACAGAAAGCAAGTTACAACTAAAAAAAGATATAAATACTAAACTTTTGCAATGTGGATGACTAAAAATCAGACATACCGAAAAAGAATCAACAGGTTATCCTTCTGATAAAAATGCATTAATATCATGTAAAAGTGGGTTGCTGCAAAGACAAATTAACGTCTGTGTCAAAAGAAAACCACAACAAACAGCAACAGATTATTCCGGTGATTGCGCAGCGGAGTCCAAACATGTCTGTTTTGACTTTGGTTTTTAAGTGCGGACTGTGCAAGTGTGAAAGTACAAATTGTGATTTGAAGTAAAAGGGGTGGTGGTGGAGGGGGAGTGAGTAGAGAGGGAGACGCAGGATGAGCACGAGGAGGAAGCCGGGACACACTTCTCGCCTTGCAATTTAATCACTGTATACCCAGGGAAGTATTGACAGTTGTCCTGTGGAAGCTATTAAAGTTGCTGTCCAAGGTTAAATGAAATTGCAGTTTATCAAGGCAGCATTGAGAAAATAAGGGAATCTGTTCATGGCTGTTGATTAATGTGGAGCGTGATCAACACAAGGGGTTCATTAAGCCATACATCACCAGGGTAATTTAACATGTCATCGCGCCTGCTGTCGCTCTCCTTCACACGTTTTGTGCGTTGTGTATGTTCGGTGTATATGTGTGAGTGTTTGTGTGTTCAAATCAAGGGCTCTGACCTCACATTTTGAGATGTGATTGTGCCTGTATGCCTTTGTGTTTGCACGATCGAAAACTTCAAAATCCCTCCTGTTAGCACTGTAAACTACACAGCATATCTCTCCAGAGACTGGCATCAAATGAATCACTTATGTGGTATGATGGCATAATATAAACATAATATAGTTCATGTGCCAGTATTCAGTCAGCCCAGAGACAAACTCCTCCAGAATCAGGATAGCTTCTTCCAAAAATGTTGTGATTTTAACTCAAGTCAAACAGTGTTTCTTATCCTGATCATCATCTCTTCTTATCCTTTTCTCACAATACTGTTCATCTCATCACATCACTGATTTGATCACTTGTAGTTGCACAGCAGCTGACGAGCATACATAGAGGTATGCTAATCAGGCTTGGGACCTAGAGCTGTTTTTTTTTTTTTTTTTTTTGCCTGGTGGATTTGTTTACTGGTGGATAATTGATGGTGCTTGAGGGACAGGCGTGAGTCGGACATGAATCACGGGCGACAGGGCTCATGATAAGGAGCTGAAAGTCGCCTGTAATTAAGCCGGGCACTAGAGACCAATTGTTTGTAGAATGATTTGGTCGGGGCTAATTGACACTAATTGTTTAATCAGATTTTCTTCCCCTCCATACTGCAAGCAAGAGTGCTCTACCAGCAACCTCATCCAACAATGCAGTGAAAGAAGCCCAAGCTTGTTATGGGATCCTTGAGGGGGGCTTGGTGATGGTTGGAAGTCTAGACATCTGTTTATGATATCTGCTCAAATGCTGTCGTGGTTAGTCATGTGACTATATGAAATGGACACATACATTTAACCTCAGTCTTGATATGGTATATGACACTTTTTATCTATCACTTAGGAATTTGACTTTAGAAGCAAGTAATTTTACTGGTATTGATATTAACTATTTTAGCAAATGAGAAAGCATGTGATTGACAGCTCTCTGATTTCTCTGTTTTCTGTTATGAATGGTGACATCACCAAAAAGTATTTTTGGATGAGGAGGAGTTTTACTGTTCTGTAACAGCAGCGGTGTTGCAGCAGATTTATGACATTTGGAGAAGACTCATAAATTAGCGCAGCAGTACCCATGATCCTCCCACACTCACTACAGGAACTGTCCTGTTTAGTGTACGATTGCACAACAGCTGGTTTTGCACTCTGTTGCAACTCCGACTAAATTACAATGCAGATCATTGCACTGGGAGGCCATTTTGGAAGAACTGCAGATATATATTTTTTTAATACCTGTAATACTTTATGAGTCTGGGTCAGCATCAAAGCCACAAAAAAAATATGGCTAATTTACCAAAACTCTTACAGTAAGATGACTTGTGATAGCTCCTACAGGAGTTTTTTTTTTTTTTTACTGAAAAACAAGGGATAATTGGAGTAATAATATACTCTGACACAAATGCTCTAAGATAAAACATGTTTTGAAGTTAGCTAACACCACTATTTTTTATAAAATCTAATAGCACTCACTCATTTTACATGATGCTGTGCCCCAAATGTGGTAGATTTGATGTTATATAATACAATCAAGCAGAGTAACATACAAATCATGTATGTATCATTTATGTATGCAACACACTAAAATGGTGAAATAAGAAATAAGCAGTGGGTCTGAATGCACACACAATAAAGTATATGTAAACAAATAATTACAGAATAATTGTCAGAACACATTATGTCAGTGTCTCATCATCAGCACTCATCTGAGCTAAGACATA